AAAAAAAAATGAAAAGCTAAACGGTAACCATCTTCGTATATACAGTCCTTCTTTATCTTTTTATTTTAACTTCGAAATTGGTATGTTTGCGTATCTATTACATTTCATTTATAACAAAGAAGAAGAAGACCTTTAAGAAACAGCTAGGATGAATTACAAAAACTCAATTTAAAAAAATTATCTTTTAACTTGTAATATGATACTGATCATGAAATAAGAAAAAACAAAACACAATATGTATTTGAAAATTACAAAAATTCAATAAGAATTCATCGGAATCTATTCTTATCCAGAATAAATTGAACATACATATAACACTTGTTACATAATGCATAGTCGATTTCAACATATTCTAATTGTACTACATAACGAAAAATAATAAGAAGCTGGAAAAATATAGTTACCAGAACTCTCCGTGTTGATGTATTGATTGAATAATATGATTTTTATTATAACAACACATGGAACAATATACACCTTAATTATGTTAACGTCTAGTTTTGATTACCTTCAACTAATTTCTATTTATAAGTACATCTGAACGTATTCTTTTGCTTTACATATTTCATTTGTTGAATGATTTTCTAAATGAAATGTTTTAATAATAAACATATAAAGAGAAAATAAAGCTGTAGATAAAGATAATTTTCTTTAACTATAAAGCTTGATTTATTAGCGAAATTATTCATATGTAAATTTAAACTATCTCTATCTAATAGCTCTTGAGTTTAAATGAATAAGTACATATAAAATGAAACTAATCTGTAGGTTTTCTATTGGTTTCATGATAAATACATTTAATAATATGAGCAATATTATGTCAGACGTTTGCTTTCTATCTAATAATATTAATTCTAAATGATTAATTGAAGAAAATGTTGAACATGAATATATATCATCTCAATTTAAATTCGATACAATTATTATTCATGGATTTTCCTACTCAAGAAAAAAGATCTTTTACATGTTCATATTTTGTACAAGAGTGTGGGTATTGATCTTTGACTGATCCATACCCACATACAACCAGTATTTTGAATGAAACTACCCATTCTTACTCGATGTCTCTCTCTCTCTCAGGTGACCTCATTCGATGCAGAAATCTGCTGTTAACATTGCTTATGTTTTATGGATCTATTTTCAAAAATTAAAGTTTCCCATCACATGAATAAGTTTTATTTTATTTTTGAGTCATTTCTTCAACTATTCTAATTAGACAATTTTCTTAATAAATTCGACTTTGAATTGTTAATATGGATGAAAAAGTAAAAGTCACACCTTCAAATTCTTTTTCTCTTCCTGAAATTAGAAAATTTTTCAGAAACAACTTTGCTGATTCGAAACTATACGAAATAATTTGATTTGTTTATGAAAAAAGAAGAAAACTGTATTAAATTCGATAAAGAAATTCTCAAATACTTATTTTAATTTCTTTGAAAAGTAAAAAACATCTCTTTGCAAGTTTTATTGGAAGAAATCAGATAAAAATATTTTTATTTCATCTGAAATCTTTGAAAATAAAAAGCAAAGTTGAATTATATATTATTTCAATCTCTTGTTCATTTTTCTTTCGTATTTCTTTTTTTTGTCAAGCTTTAATCGACTCTTCTCACTGATTTACAACAATAAAACTTCATTTTTTCTTTTATTTCTTGATTATTTATTTAATACAAAATTTCTTTTTTTTTAAATTTAAAATTTCATTCACAGATTATTTCAAATTTTTGAATTCGATTATTCTGACGATCAGTAACATAAAGATTGCCTTCTTCGTCAAAAGATAAACCATGAGGATAATGCAATTGATTTGGTTGATTTCCATAACCATTTCCACCAACAACAATTTCACCTTCTTTTTTTCCTTCACACCAACGCATTACTCGATGATTCCACGTATCTACCACATAGATTTGACCTAAAGCATCAACAATTATTCCATGAGGTCTAGACAATTGATTGAGATTTTCTCCTTCACCATTTCCTCCAGCCACAACTGTTCCTTCCTTTGCATCTTTTGTCCATTTCATCACACGATGATTATCTCTATCTGATACATAAACAGATTGATCTTCATCAACAAAGATAAAACTATGTACATTAAATTGATTGAGTTGATTCCCTCTTCCATTTCCACCTGCCACTATAATTCCTTCATTATTATAATCTCCCATTTTCCATCGTCTCACTTCGTTCTTTGGACTATCAGAAACATAAAGAAATCCATGTTTATCCATTGCTAAGCCCCAACAGTCAATATTATCAATGAGAATTTGTTGATTTTGATTCAACCATTGAATCACTCGTCTGTTATTATAATCAGCAATGATGATCGAATGATTTTGTTGATCAACAATTATATCTGTTGGACCATTCAATTGATCCATTCGATTTCCTTCACCATTTCCACCTGCAATGATTTGACCTTCTTTTGCATTATATTTCCATTCAACAATACGATGATTATTATAATCAGCAATGAAAATATTTTTATTTTTATCAGTAAAGATTCCGAAAGGGCCAATGAGTTGATTTAGTTGTTGTCCATGTCCATTTCCACCAGCCACAGTGATGCCATTTTGTTTCCATTTAAGATTAGTCTTATCTAAAACAGATCAAATTTATAGTTTCAAATATCTTAAAAGTATAAATAAGAATGTTGCATCTGTCATCCAATGCGATCTACTCACTTTTCGTTGGTGGACAGATACTTTGATCAGTCATTGTAGCTGGATAACAAACAGGAAGATCATTACATTGCGGATGTTGAACACAGGTCGTATTAGGTTGAGAACACGAATTGTCCGAAGAATTACACAGTACAAGATGAGAGCATGCTAGCCAGCGAAAACCACAAATACCTGTTTCATTATTAGCACCTACCATATGAAAGTATCCACATGCATTGTTCGTCGAGCATTCACCATATTGAGGTGTTTTCCTACATATTTGAGGTTTAACTTGAACTATAAAAGCAATAAACTAATACATATAAACAGGCAAAAAATAGAATAAAAATCAAACCTGTTATGCTAAAATATAAAATCAATGGATGTTAATAAAATAAATAATAAAATTCAATAATTATTTACCTGAGAATAATAAAAACAATATAACAATGAATGATGATTGTATTCATAGTTGATTTTAAAATAAGATAATATAACGAAGAAATGTGTGTTTTTATATCCGAGATACAGATAGTATCTTAAGTCAATATAATTGGAATATAACAGATGCATCTATTCACATATCAATAACTGGAAATTTGATATCGACTTTATCTCTTCTAATCTTTCTGATTCTATTCCGCGAAAAATGCAATAAAAATATAATTGAAAAATGCATAAATGATTATGTGATGAAGTTGAGAATCAAGTGGTATTAGTATATTTCTAAAGAGTGGACAGTTTTAAGATCCGTATTAATCAACTATTAAATTGTATTCTCTTTACTAAGATGAAAGTGATATTTGTGGGTGTGGATGTGAATGAAGAAGCCACCAGCGCCCAATCGACACCCACACATTTGAGGGACAATTTATTTTTGAAACAAACTCACAAATACGTAATTTGAAGAGAAAAGAACTGAAATTGAAAATGAGAAAAGATTTTGTTGATACTTTTTTGTTAGATAAATTTGATAATGAAAAAAACGAAAATGATTTTAATCAAAAGGTTTGTACAAAATAAAATAAAATAAATTAATAAGGATTTAACATATTTAAATTAGAAATAAATTTTATTCGCTGATTTTTAATATTCTATTTCATTTGACTATTTATTTTAATTTACCATGTTTTATAGGAATATCTAGAAAAATATTCTTATCAAACTTGTCAATAAGAATAAAATCTTTTTTAAACAATAATGAAAAATTTCTCAAAACTCGACATTTTTATATTTGTCTTTTATTTAATGAAATTTATAAATATAGAACGTCTCTTAATTTCATTATGATAATTAACATATTGAAAATATCAAAGAATAAAGAAAAAAATAGTAAAAGGGTGTGGGTGGTGATGATCAATGATTTTATTTAAAAACATATGATTATTCATATAATTCTTAAGAAAAGTACATTTTTATGATAAAACTATAAATAATTTAGATGTTTTTTTGAGAAATTCTTGATATACTTATTGTTTTTTTTTAAACCACAAAATAAAAAAACCTTACTCGAGACGAATAAAATGGTCATATGATTATTTTACATTGATGCATTCTAAAAAATTTTACCATAGAAAGATAGCCCGTCTTTTTCTCTACAAAATCACATAATTTGATGAATTATTATATATAAGTTTGTCATAGAAAAAGATCCATCTTTGATAAAGGGTCGAAACTTACGAAACACCCTTTATGGTATCGACAGAGTGAATCGTTTATCACGTGTAGAAGTTTAATCATGGATGTTGTTCGAGGATTACAAGCCAGTTCAACGATTATGGCCAGTTGTAAAACCTGATAAATATTCGTAAATAATTTTACTGAAATTTTAACAACGAAATTAATTTCTTTATTATTCTAGATATACATCTGATGCATGGTAAGTGTCGACAACAAATACCAACAGTCGGAAGTAGTTAGTGATAGTTTATTCTAAAAAAAAGTATTCATAATATCTTGATCTGACGGAAATAATATTTATCGATAAATATTTCTGTTATTCATAGAATCTAGAATGCAATTAATCTACCTATTGGTAATTATTTACTTCTCTTTCGTGTGTTTAATGCAAACATATCATTAGCGATAATATTGCTATTGTTTCATGTGCTTGTCCTTCGCCCAGAAAATTCTCTTCTTTCTTTCTCATGTGATTTTGATCATTCGACTATGGGTGATCTGGTTAACGCCAAATCGACTACTACATCTGCAAATCATTTCACAATATTTACTGGTGATACAGTACCAAATAAGCATCTTGGCCCAACACGAGATCATACAAGTAATTCAACCACAGGTGATTTTCTCCATTGGAATCCACAATATCCATTAACTGTCAAAGATATTGATCACGCATTCATTTTAAAAACCATTGTATTCGATTATGATATGTTAAATTCTTGTGAAGTAACACTGAATATTTATGTCACTAATTCTGTTTCAGTACCGATATCAGTTGCTTTTAATGATACAGAATTCGATCAATGTAGCATTCTTCCACCAACGACAATTTCGACAATAACAACAACTATAACACAATCATCTTTAACGATATCAACATCAGCATTTGCTTCAACAACTCGAAGTAATGCTCATCAAGTATTGTCGTCAACTGCAACTGAGTTGATGTTGATGATATGTCGAAGAGACTTTTATCGAAGTTTAATAACTTAAATATTAGATTTTTCCTTTCTGTTTAATTATTTCGTTTTTTAATCTATAATAACATTAAAATAAATTATTTTAGAAAAACAATCCTCCGATGGCATGTTATATTTGGATTTCTTATAAATAACTAAATAGAAAACATAATAGTCGAAAATCAATATCAACGAAGAAAAAGCGAATCCATTTTTCTTGAGGGTGTGGGTGTGGGCGTAGGTGTAGGTGTGGGTGTGGGTGTGGTGTGTGTGTGAATATTATTTGTGGCATATAACACACTCACACCCACACCCACACCCTCACCCTCACCCTCAAGTATTTATAATGTTTGTTTTATCTTATTCATTTTACTATTTGCTTCATACCATAAAGCTGCTCCAGTTGTTAATGCTCCAATCAACTCCCAGATTGCCACACCAATAAAACCTCCTGGTGCATGACCATTCTTAATAGCCAAAATGAACACAGTAACTGTTACTAATCGAAAAACAACAGTAAATTGATAGAATTTTGTCCATTGATTCCATGCTGCTAGTAAATAATAAATACCCATATTAAGTGAAGCCATCGATGAGCAAAGTAGAAATGCTATGGTATAATCACCATTTTGACGCGTTGATCGATCAAGAACAATAAAGTTCATTAGGTTTAAAATTGTTTCAGGGCTTATTAAACCAAGTAGACCTACTAAGATAGCCAGTAAACCAAAGACGAATATGGTCCAGTCAGATACAGTTCGAAGCATCCTGTTGCCCTATGATATGTAAAATGAAGTACAGAGTAAGTCATAAATATCTTTATGATAAAAAATGTGAGTATCCATTACGGCTCGAGCAAATGAGCTGATTATTTTTATCAGTGATAGAAGTATATTCCAGGTTTATATTTAGAAAGACTGTTTGTTAAGTATATTGTTCTTTTTCAACTTGTGAAGAAGGAAATTCTTTTTGTTGAGGTCAATAGTGATGCTTAAAAATGCTCTAGCCGTAATAGCGATATTTAAACTTTTTATCGTAAAAATATTTATGGCTTACTACGTATATTCTTGGTGATACAATAAAGAAAAAACATACCAAAAAAAACGTTAGTGATGGTGTAACTTGCTTTGGAAGGATGGAATATTTTTTTCTCGCGTGCGATTGAGTCGTTCTTTAATTTTTTTTCATCGTTCTGTTAGCGTTACGTGACAGAACGAGAGAACCCTCTCTATTTTTCATTCTATTCCTATCACGCCATGCAAACACTAACAACTACCAAAAGCAAAAAAAACAGAGGACAAACTTCGATTGAAAAATCAAATCGTTGAAGTAATTTTTATCAAATTGAGGGTGGATGTGAGTATGGATATGAAAGGAGTACAACACCCACGGCTATACCTATACCAACCCACACCCACTTCTCTTTTTTTCTTCTACTAAAGTCCAACAAAAGATGAAGAATTTAACATTTACACGAATTTTATTAAATAAAATTTTCAAGATAAAAACAAAAAGATTTTTCTTCGTTTTATTCTTATCAAAAATTGATTCGATTTTTACACTGATTTTTAGCAATAAAACTTTACGTCTTTTTATCTTTATTTTTCCATATTTTATTTAACAAATTTCTTTTCTTTTTTTTAAATTCTAAGTTTTATTCACAAAATTATTTCAAATTTTTCAATTCGATGATTCCAATAATCAGCAACATAAAGATTGCCTTCATCATCAAATGATAAACCTGCGGGATTATATAATTGATTTGGTTGATTTCCTTCACCATTTCCACCAACAACAACTTCACCTGCGTCTTGTCCTTCACGCCAACGCATTACTCGAGCATTTCCCAAATCTGCTACATAGATTTGACCCAAATCATCAACAATGACTCCAAAAGGTAAAGCCAATTGATTGAGATTCTTTCCATTACCATTTCCTCCAGCCACAATTCTTCCTGTTCTTGCATCTTTTCTCCATTTCATCACACGATGATTGTCTCTATCTGATACATAAACAGATTGTTCTTCATCAACAAAGATAAAACCAGGAGTACTAAGTTGATTAAGTTGATTTCCTCTATCATTTCCACCTGCCACTACAATTCCTTCGTTGTTGTATTCTCCCATTTTCCATCGTCTCACTTCGTCCTTCTTATGATCAGAAACATAAAGAAATCCATGTTTATCTATTGCCAAGTTATGACAGTCGATATTGTGAATGAGAATCTGTTGAGTTTGATTCATCCATCGAATCACACGTCTGTTTACCACATCAGCAATGATGATCGAATGATTTTGTTGATCAACAATCACATCTGATGGTCGATCTAATTGATCCATTCGACTGCCTTGTCCATTTCCACCTGCAATGATTTGTCCTTCTTTTGCATTATATTTCCATTCAACAATACGATCATTGAAATAATCAGCAATGAAAATATTTTTCTTTTCGTCAATAAAGATTCTCCAAGGGATATTGAGTTGATTTAATTTTTGTCCTTGTCCATTTCCACCAGCTACAGTGATGGCATTTTGTTTCCATTTAAGATTGTTCTCATCTAAAACAAATCAAATTTATAGTTTCAAATATGTAGTGAGTGTGGCCAAGAATGTTGTATGTATCATTCATTGATACACTCACTTTTCGTTGGGTGTGTGGGTGTGAGTGAGGGTAGGTGTTTCTTGTTCATCCTTACTCTCACCTACAACCTCACACTCACACTCACACCCTTCGTGGAATTTAGCGAGTTTAAAAAGCGTTAATTCAAAGCTTACCTGGTTGCGAAGTAGTGGATATAGTCGAAGTTGTAGTTGTAATTAGAGTTGGTTTCGGTGTGGTATTGGTTACTATTCATTAAGATAAAATATTTATGTGGGCGAAACATTTAGTTTTTAGTCTATTTTAGAATAGGAGATAAGTTCGGTGAGTCTCAATTTTGAGTGAATTTCAAGCAGAGTTCCAAAATAGAGCAACACTATAAAATAGGCTGAAAATCCAATTTATTTTTTCAAAAACTACGTCTGATGGAAAAGTTCTGTATATATGTAAACTCGTAAGTAGAATATTCAGAGCAAAAGCTCAGTGAGTCATCATGTTTTGCTCGATAAAAACACAATATATTATGCATTTACGACTAATAAATATCATTCCAGAGATGACCTGAGGTAAGAGCTTTTCTTCGAAATTACAATTCAGTTAATCTACTCTTTCAAGTGGCCTTCAAAACCTCTTCGCTATTGACACAACAGCAGTAAGTGTCTATGTGAAAGGTGTGTGAATGACGAAGAAGTGTCTTTTAAGAAATCTTCGAGTATCACTTGAATTTGTAGATCGTTATTTATTTTCTTACTTGTTATCGTTGGACAAAATGGTTCACCGGCCATCGACACTGGATAACAAATCGGAAGTGTATAGCATACAGGATGATACACACAGATGTAACCAGGATCACAAAAGTTGTTTGAAGATGCACACAAAGTAAATCCAGAACAGGACAGATGTGTAAATCCACAAATACCAGCGTTAATAGCACCTGGCATGTGCATACAG